AGCACATCTGAATGTAGTTCCTTCCACTGACCCAGATGTGTTTACAGGCAGGTTGCTGTCGGAGATAACATCAAGGAGTCATCCCCTCTGTTGAAATCAGCTTAAGATCTTAATTAGATGAAGCTGATCTGTGTGAAGGGCTGCCCCCACCTTCAGCCAGCTCTGTGATGTGGATCCCCCTGCTAATACATGGCTGACCTCCACTTGGTACAGAGGAGCTGGAGGGCCAAGTGGAACCCAGCATACATGTTTTCCTACAGTGGGCCAGTGTGAAGTTGTTCATAGGTTGACCTCCTACCTTAGTCTTGTGGATAAGAAACTGTCAGTATGTCACAGATGGTCTCAAATTTTGTAACATTGAATAACACAGATTATTTTAATACATATTATCTTATCACATGACAAATGTATTTGACTTTTCCTTGTAATTATAAAAGTGGTGTTTTGATTGCATTTTTTTATTAAATTCGATATTTATCACATCTTTTGGTTTTTGAACGCTTGGATGACAGATTCATTAGCTCCTTGACTTGATGAAGTGGAGAAACAAAGTATCTACGTGTGTATATTCCTCTGATCATATGAACAGTTATTCCAAAACCTATTTGGACCAGTAGTGTTTGTTTGTTTGTTTGTTTGTTTGTTTGTTTGTTTGTTGTTTAACGCCACACTCAGCATTATTCCAGCTATATGACGGCGGTTTGTAAATAATCGAGTCTGGACCAGACAATCCAGTGTTTAATATCATGAGAATCGATCTACACAACTGGGATATGATGACATGCATCAACCAAGTCAGCGAGCCTGATCACCCGATCACGTTAGTTGCCTCTTACGACAAGCATAGTCTCCTTTTACGGCAAGCATGGGTTGCTGAAGACCTATTCTACCCCAGATCTTCACGGGTCTGGCCGAGTAGTGCACTGTTTGCAACTCCTTGTTAAGGCTGGACACAACAGAAAGGGGTAAAAAGCATTTTCTGAAAGAGCCTGTTATTATGAATTAATTCTTAATCAACAGTTATGTTGTTAATTGGTCCTGATTAACATTTTCGATTATAACATCCTCAATGAAGTTAAACAAAATCAGGTAAGATTATAAGATTATTGCTTCAACAAAACAGCAGAATGGCCCCTATGGGCAATATGAGATAGCGATGCAATGAATCGCAAAGAACAACAACAAAACACTGTGGTTTTTTTCACGATAAAACACTGTTCTATCATGACGTGTTTTCTGGAGATTTGAACATGCGCTCACAACTTGATGACGTTATTTTTGAGAGGGGAGTGTCCAGTGAGTTGTTCCCCATAGATGTAGCTGGGCAACATAGATCAACATGATGGCTGAATGATTACATCCAAGTGCGGGAGAGATATGACAATCGGTATTGGGAGAAAAGGGTACAGGTAATTGACATGAGGATTGTGAGAATATGTGGGGAAAACCCAGCTGTGCATCAAATGGACTTGTCCAACATTGCTGGGGTTGGATTCTATTGAGGGAGTCATCATTATTAAAATACGGGCTGTGTGGGCCCCTCATGGTTTATTTTCCCTGCAGTGTTTTATTTATTTATACAACAATCACAAGTTGTTTATTTTTTAATTGAAAGATACAAATAGGTTTGGGTTTTTTAAAAATTAATCTTTGCTGACATTGTCCCAGTCATTATGACTGAAGTCTATCTCATTCTCCATCTGACTCCTTCAACATAGGACAGGATGCACATCCACGAGTCTGGGTGCAGCTTAACATACACGACCACTTCCTGCTGCGGTTCATTCATGATGAGTGTATAATAATTATAGCATGATGACAATGCAATAGCCACTTGACTGTCTCTCCATCAGGGGGCTGTGTCTCTACTTAGAACAGCAAGGGTGGGTCATAGGGCTTCGGCCTCCATGATCTAAATAGCCATTTCAAGACGACAAATGTTACAGTTATGGTATAATTAAGTGAATTTTCTTGGAATGTGATAATCAAAACATTATAAACATCTATTTACTCCATGAAGCTAAATCTATTAACTCCATGAAGCTAAATCTATTACCTCCATGAAGCTATATCTGTTAACTCCTTGAAGCTACATCTATTAACTCCATGAAGCTACATCTATTAACTCCATGAAGCTACATCTATTAACTCCATGAAGCTACATCTGTTAACTCCATGAAGCTTCATCTATTAACTCCATGAAGCTACATCTATTAACTCCATGAAGCTACATCTATTAACTCCATGAAGCTACATCTGTTAACTCCATGAAGCTACATCTATTAACTCCATGAATCTGCATCTGGCGTGATACATCCAGTGTCACTATGTTCCATGTAATCCATCAGTCAATGCAACAGCTACGTCTTCATCAGAGCCCTGATGTAACAACATGGCAGGGATGATCCCAGGCTATTTAGGATCTCATGACTCTAAGAGCAATCTTCAAACTTCTATTAATACTCTTTATTAGATGTGAGGCCCAATATCCCGTATATAAGCCCAGGGCATATACTGTCGGGGTTCAAAGGCACACTGATCAAAAGCCGGGTGAAATGCTGTGAGGGCAATAGTCTTCTCTCGGCCCTGTAATACCCATGGCAGTGTGTGTGGAGAAGAGGGGTTATGTACGGAACAATTATTTATTCAGAAGACGAAATGATGGGGACTTAAATTGAAGCCATGGTGCTCGTGGCGGAGCATCGTGTACGCCAGTGATGTCATTAAGTAGTCATCAAGTGGACCAGATGTATAGTTATGAAATAGCCTTGGCAAAAAACAAGGATGCTTCACCTGTGAACTTTCTTGTGGCATGATACTGTACGGAAATATCTACAAATTGGCATCTTCAAGTTCTCATGAGCCTACATACACGCATCTGACATCTGATCATATGCAATGAAAAGGACAGTTTTGATAAAAGGGACACAAAAACTGAAACAATTGGCCAACAATGAGATAGATTAGAAGTAGGAAGTTGTGCACCCTCGACCACCAAAAATCTTATGTATCTCGATTGTTTGTTTGAACAAAATTGATGTGAAACAAAATATTTTCTTCATTTAAAGCATTTATTGTTTATTGTTAAGCAAAGTTTATCTCTGCAGCTGATCACTGTGTAGGATTAACGAGACTGATCAATGAGTGATTTCGGTAATTTGTTGCGAATTACCCGTAGGTGTGTCGGAGTTGGAGTGCGAGACTGTCGGATTAACGGGTTTAAATAGCGCTGATTTAATCGGTTCCCATCATTAGTGTCGGATAAAGCCGATTGTCAGATTAACAAGACTTGACTGTATTTTACAGAAAATACAGTATTTAAATTATAGTTATAAAATATAATACAAAGGAGCCCAGAGACTTTCAGCCTGATACGGCAGTAATCTAGACTTGCCAAACATTATAGACTTGCATGGGCTGTATTGGATATATTTGTTTCAGGGTGTGTATAACAGACTACAACCTGCCCTAAACCAGGGGAATTCCCACCCGGGGATGCTCAGGTCTGGTGGACAATCACTGAGAACATACACAGAAAGTGACTTTATGCCATTTTTGATAATTTCAACATTTATATTTGCCAAACAATGCAGTCAGCAGGCTTTGTCATAATGGTCTGTAAGTCATAAAGGTCATAAAGTGACCAAAATGTCCCCGATCAGAGCATGCTCCACAGGGATTATGGAGTGTGATGCCATATCGCTTCAACTGACCAATCAGCATTGAGAATCAGTAAAATCCAAATCTTAAATTCTGTCCTGAGTGGGCAATAATGACCGATTTTCCATTTGTGAAGACATGTTGAGAACTATTGTCATGAATCAGGACTCACAAAATGAAATCCCAGTGGGCCCATGATTGGTAGCATGTGTGTGAATGAGCTGTGTACTGAATGTCCAAACTGATCATTATCTGAAAATGAAATCTATACGTATCTATAATCAAATCTGATAAAGTGATAACTAGTCATTAATGTAGATCTGATTACTGGCAGCCATATTTGTTAATGACCCCCAGGAGATTAGTGGACTGACATCTTGTTTCTCCTGACAGAACGAGGGATGTCAGAGTGAGTGAGTGAGTGAGTGAGTGAGTGAGTATGGTTTTACGCCGCTTTTAGCAATATTCCAGCAATATCACGGCGGGGGACACCAGAAATGGGCTTCACACATTGTACCCATGTCGGGAATCGAACCCGGGTCTTCGGCATCACGAGCGAAGGCTTTAACCACTAGGCTACCCGACCGCCCCGAGTGATGTCAGACGAAAACGTGACATTGAAAACTGGATTACATGTAGTCATTAATAACATGATAGACTTAGTGACTGAAATAGCCAACATGTCTTGAAATAATTAATACTAATGATCCATCATAATGCTGAGAATTAAACTGCTATTATATATTTATGGTACAATATTCACGAAGATATGTTTTTAGAACCAGTGGGTAATTGTATATTTTCAGAAACAAAACTGTTTAACAAAATAAGTACACCAAGTTATCAATGTTTGTTTGTTTTGTTGTTTAATGCCGCACTCAGCAATATTCAAGCTATATGACGGCAGTCTGTGAATAATTGAGTCTGGACCAGACAATCCAGTGATTGACATCATGAGCATCGATCCACAAATTTGGGATACAATGACATGCATCAACCAAGTCAGTGAGTCTGACGACCCGTTAGTCGCCTCTTACGACAAGCATCATTGGGTTGCTGAAGACCTATTCTACCCCTGATCTTCATGGGCACAGTTATCAATATTTGTATAATTGGTTACATATAAAAACATATATGACATGTTATATAATTATTGGTTTCAGCCTGTTAAGAACTATGGCTTTTTGTCCCACAATTAATATTAGTCAGTAAAATAAGTTGTCAAAATTGCAATTTGTCAGATGTAGTTCCAAATATCTACAAATATGAACTTCATATACTGTTGATAATGAAAGTTTCATAAAACAACAATTCCACAAGATGTCAACATGCTTACTTACATGAATGTGCGTGTTGTCAAAGAACAAGTCCAAGTGTATCGCTGACGCTCCAGTCAGCCTGTGGTGGACTTTATATCATAACTAACTCAACACTTCCTATCTAGAAGGAGGCTCTGTACTGGGGCACCGTGACACACATTATCACAATACACTCAGCAGTGTCTCCATAACAATACACTCAGCAGTGTCTCCATAACAATACACTCAGCAGTGTCTCCATAACAATACACTCAGCAGTGTCTCCATAACAATACACTTAGCAGTGTCTCCATAACAATACACTCAGCAGTGTCTCCATAACAATACACTCAGCAGTGTCTCCATAACAATACACTCAGCAGTGTCTCCATAACAATACACTTAGCAGTGTCTCCATAACAATACACTCAGCAGTGTCTCCATAACAATACACTCAGCAGTGTCTCCATAACAATACACTTAGCAGTGTCTCCATAACAATACACTCAGCAGTGTCTCCTTCTGTGGATTCAGTGGAAAAATTGTTAAAAGATACCACAAGAACTGCATGTTTGTTAAAAATTGCCCAAACAACTGCATGTTTGTTAATGTTACCTCAAGAACTGCATGTTTGTTAATGTTACCTCAAGAACTGCATGTTTGTTAAACATTACCTCAAAAACTGCATGTTTGTTAAAGTTACCTCAAGAACTGCATGTTTGTTAAAGTTATCTCAAGAACTGCATGTTTGTTAAAAATTGCCTCAAGAGTTGCATGTTTAATGATGTTACCTCAAGAACTGCATGTTTCTTAAAAATTGCCTCAAGAGTTGCATGTTTAATGATGTTACCTCAAAAACTGCATGTTTGTTCAATGTTACCTCAAGAACTGCATGTTTGTTAAAGTTACCTCAAGAACTGCATGTTTATTAAAGTTACCTCAAGAACTGCATGTTTGTTCAAAGTTACCTCAAGAACTGCATGTTTGTTAAAGTTACCTCAAGAACTGCATGTTTGTTCAAAGTTACCTCAAGAAATGCATGTTATGTTAAAGATTGCTTCAAGAGCTGCATGTTTGTTAAACGTTACCTCAAGAACTGCATGTTTGTTAAAAATTGCCTCAAGAGTTGCATGTTTAATAAAGTTACCTAAAAAACTGCATGTTTGTTCAATGTTACATCAAGAACTGCATGTTTGTTAAGTGTTACCTCAAGAACTGCATGCTTGTTAAAGTTACCTCAAGAACTGCATGTTTGTAAATGTCACATATGGTTATTTTGTGACTTTAGACAGGTGGTGACAGCATTTGTTGTGAATCCATCAGTTCAAAAGTTACATTCCTTAGGTTTTCAGGCACACCCCTGACCAAATTGTGAAGTTGTTGATTTTTTCAGTAATAAAAAAACACTTTAGCATAAATCTAATCAGAACACAAGACTTTTTAGTGAAATTCATGCATGTTCACAGATTAAACCACCCTTTTTCATCCTGTTTTACCTATGATCATTATGATAGTGATGCTGTTCATTTTTATGGTATAGATGTACAAGCTTAACCCAAAATTTCCAATGGACATCAAGTTAATTGATCATATGCTTTAAAATTCAATTATATTTTTTAAACTTTGTATGAAGTTAAATTTAGATGAACTCTGACAACAGTTTGCTTCCTCGTACTGTTTGGTATACAGATCAGGACAAGCAGCAGTGGCCCAGTCTTGTAAGGCATTGCAATTCGCTGTGCAGGGTTGTGCCCCTTGGCCACACCGGAAAACTATGATTCTGGTTTCGATTCCAACTTTTTCCCGATTATGTTTCTAGGTTTGTCAGCACCATACCTGTTCTCGTGGGTTTCACCAAAGTGGTAAATGTCTGAGACCTGCATCAGGGCTTTCCTCTCACATCAAGCTGACACGCTGTGATACAACTGGAATACTGTTAAAGGCAGTGTTAAACCCAACTCACTCACATTCCTTACTTTTCACAGTCTTAATAAAAGCAGCAAAACCCTTTCCATAATCATAGGAATCTTTGCTGAAAGCAAGTCCATTGGACGAGTCTGACTATTTCATGAGCATGTGTTTATGAATCACTATCAAATAGTGATGACACCAGGTGTTCACTTAAGGTGAGGAGCGTATCCTGCCCCAGCGGTGGATCACAACGATCAGCACGAGATATCACATCCAGTCATATAACATCCACATATCAAACTGACTTTCTTCAGACATTTGTTGACACAGGCATGAAGGATGCTGTTGAGAAGCCCAGTATCTATTCATACGTTCTATTTCAGATGATCAGCCCTCAGACAAGTTCCAACCTACTAATCATGTGCTGGATAAAATGAGTTCTTGAAGTTCATACATAATTATATCAGTGTAAAAACTTTCCCAAACTTTCAGTCAGCCACCCCTTATTGGCAACATTGCAATGTTATCAGACCTGATAAAATGTTGCCAGTCCAGAAGTTGGCTAACAACAAAAAGTAACAAAAGTTTAAACATAAAAATAGTACTGTTTATTATTTAGTTTTCAGAAAATAACAATAAGCTTGTAGATTGTCAAATTAGTAACTTTAACTCCTGACCATTGGGTGTGCAACTTTTCAAAACTGACCGTCCATCGGCAAAATAGACAACCTCGGACTGTCGCCAGGCGGGTATTTTAAACACTGCAAATATAAGGACAAGTATGATCCTTGAAACATGTAGTGGTGTGTAGTATATACTAGTATTCATCATACAGGAAAGAGTTGAAACCATGTATTCGTTTCATAACTTCTTTAATACAAGTAAAAAGATCTTTAACTGTCATTCCTTTCAAACTCCGGTCACAAGAGCACTGTAGCTCACCTGGCCGAAGTATTTCAGGTAGATAGTACCCTGCTCAATATGCCAATTATGTTTGTTTGTTTGTTGTTGAACACCCCTTAGCAATATTCTAGCTGTATGACGGCAGTCTGTGAATAATCGAGTCTGGACCAGACAGTCCAGTGATTGACATCATGAGCATCAATCCACGCAATTGGGATACGATGACGTGCATCAACCAAGTCAGCGAGTCTGACCACCCGATCCTCTTAGTCGCCACTTAGGACAAGCATGGGTTGCTGAAGACCTATTCTAACCCGGATCATCACGGGTCTATTAATGTTAGGTCAAAATAGTGGGGTCATTTCAAACTACGTGTCTGGTGTGTGACATAATGGACCATTACAACTCTACTACGGTCATTAAATTATAGATTTAGCCAAAAAGGCTGATCGAGACAATATTGGATTTCAGTCTTGGGTGTGTTGAAAAGTTAAAATTACATACGGTTACTGTTTCCCAATTGTCACATGTTTGTAGCTCATTATGAATGATTGGCCTTTGGATTCACGGCATGACAGATTGTCCATAAGTCTGTCTGTCCATTGACTTTGGACGTCCAACTGCTTCTAACAATGAGCATGAAACTTGGGCAGGACAGTGTCATAATAGGACTCAGATTTGTTAATGGCTTTGAAAAAATAATTTGTTCTTGAAATATTTAATATGACACCATTAATTTTGAATCATATTTTGATTAATAATTAAGTGTTTTTTTTCTTAAAATTGAAAAGAAATAATAGTTTTTAAGAACATGCCAATGTGCTTTGTGTTGAGGATCGTGAGAAGGTCCTTGCAGCACCAGCATCGGCACTCAATACTGTAACGTTGCAAAAGTAAAATATGTTACATGTCTTTGTCAAGTGCTTTGAATAAAAGTTTGTCACACAATGATATTAATTAGTGTGTAAGAGTATTATAAAGATGATATTTTCTTATCACATCAAACAGACCACATTACACAGTCAGTACTACTCTCCTTGCTTGATGATCCTCTCTCTGTAAATGTGCAGGTGAACACCAACGCCATGGTGTTCTTTTTCAATATTTTTTTCTCAACATGCCATGTTGTTTTTTGTGCACTTAGTGTGAGCTAGTACAAGCCTGACTTATCTTATCGCCACACTTCGATCACATCAGACATGCTTGTGTTATCGTCTGCCTCGTCATATCTAAGAGAGTATTACTTTCTATTTTCACATAATTAACAAAACATTATGAAAATATGCATATGTGTGTATGTCATTAGGTCTATAGAGGTTACATGAACGCCTGGTGATCACCGGGTTACGGTGCCCCGGAGCACCTGCCTCACCAGGGCTGTTTCAGGATGCAGCCTGCCCCGCAATAACTATGTACCAAGGCTGTTCCAGGGTGCAGCCTGCCCCCCATTAACTCTATACCAAGGCTGTTCCAGGGTGCAGCCTGCCCCCCATTAACTCTGTACCAAGGCTGTTCCAGGGTGCAGCCTGCCCCCCATTAACTCTGCACCAAGGCTGTTCCAGGATACAGTCAGACACCTATAAAGGTATAGGGAGGTGTTGTGGGGGTTAAGTTTTGGAGGAGGGGTTGTGGGATCAAGTTATGGGGGAAGTGTTTGGGTCAAGTTTTTTGGGGGAGGGAGTGTTTGGGTCAAGTTATGGGGGAGGGAGTGTTGGGTTCAAGTTATGGGGTGGGAGTGTTTGGGTCAAGTTATGGTGGGGGGAGTGTTTTGATCAGGTCATGGGGGTGGGAGTGTTGGGGTCAAGTTATGGGGGAGGGAGTGTTGAGGTCAAGTTATGAGGGGATGTGTTGGAGTCAAGTCATGGGGGGGGGAGCGTTTGGGTCAAGTTATGGGGGAGGGGGTGTTTTGGTGGTCAAGTTATGGGGGGGAGCGTTGGGGTCAAGTTATGGGGGAGGGAGTGTTTGGGTCAAGTTATGGGGGAGGGAGTGTTGGGGTCAAGTTATAGGGAGGGAGTGTTGTGGTCAAGTTATGGGGAGGGAGTGTTGTGATCAAGTTATGGGGGAGGGAGTGTTTTGGTGGTCAAGTTAGGTGGGGGGGGGGGGAGCGTTGGGGTCAAGTTATGGGGGAGGGAGTGTTTGGGTCAAGTTATGGGGGAGGGAGTGTTGGGGTCAAGTTATGGGGGAGGGAGTGTTTGGGTCAAGTTATGGGGGAGGGAGTGTTGGGGTCAAGTTATGGGGAGGGAGTGATGGGTTCAAGTTATGGGGGGTGGGGTTGTTGGGGTCAAACTATGGGGGAGGGGGTGTGTTGGTGGTCAAGTTATGGGGGAGGGGGTGTTTTGGTGGTCAAGTTATGGGGGAGGGAGTGTTTGGTGTCAAGTTATGGGGGGGATGTTGTTGGGGTCAAGTTATAGGGTAGGGGGTGATAGGATCAAGTTGCGGGGGGGGGGGCGTTTGCATCAAGTTATGGTTGGGGGGGTGGGGGGGGGGGGGGGTGTTGTCAAGTTATTGAGAAGGTTTGCATTTGACTCACTATAGGTGAGGGAGGTATGGAAGTCAAGTCAGAGGTGGCCATTGTGTTTGAGCAGAGACTGCTCCACCAGTTGAGCACCAAGTATCTACTTCCCCTGCAGTCACTCTCAGAGGGGGAAGCATTAGGCAATCAACTGGAGCACT